TTGTATTTTATATGAGAAATGCAAAATGTGAATTAAGTAAAATAAAGGAGAGATGGTAGAAAAGAGAGAGGCCTATGATGTGGAGAGGGTGGAGAGGCTCAGTGGAAGGGGTAGGGATAGAGTCTAGGAGAAAAAAGGTATGAAAACTAATCAACATCTGGTATATATATGTATCAGTTGTTCAGAATGAAAGTAACAAGTATGTATTGCAAACGTATCACTTCCAAACTCCCAAATGAATACTGTTTTTTCTTTCACAGAAGTGCAGAGGTAGATAAATACTGTCAATATAAATTACGGAATCAACAGGGAGAAAAGGGTTTTATGACTCCTGATACAAATGTGCAAATCAAACTGCTTGGTATAAAACCAGGTGGAGGCCCTACATGGACAAAGCCTCTGACTGGTCATTCATCATCGACCATGCCCATCATACATAACACTGGACTCAAATCACATGAGCTCCATGGATTTGAACAGAAGTCCACAAACTTTCAGTCCTTTCAGAAACATGCAGAGACAAATCCTGAAGAAAAACCCCATGGATATAAACAATGTGGAAAACCCTACTGTGATTGCACTGAAGGAAGTACCGCTGAAGAGAAATCCTTTGTATATAAGCAAGATATGAGAGCTTTCAGTACATCCAACTGTGTTGAAATCCAGGAAAGAAATCACGGTACGATAAATACCTGTATATATATACAATGTGGAAAAGGTTTGAATTCTCACCATGATATTCAGAAACATGAAAGTGCTCACACTGGGATAAAATCCTATGTAAATAAACACTGTTGGAAATCCCTAAATAATAACACTTCATTTGGTAATCATGACAGAACTCACATTGAGGGAAAAACCTACCTATGTAAACAATGTGGGAAAGCTTTCAGAACACACAGTAATTGTCAAATACATGAAAGGACCCACACTGGGGAGAAACTCTATAAATGTAAGCAATGTGGGAAAGCTTTCAGAAAACAGAGCCATTGTCAAAGGCATGAACAAACTCACACTGGGGAGAAACCCTACGTATGTAAACACTGTGGGAAAGCTTTCACCAGACACAATTATTGTCAAATACATGAAAGGACTCACACTGGTGACAAATCTTATGTATGTAAGCAATGTGGGAAAGCCTTCAGCATACAGAGTCATTGTCGAAGACATGAACAAACTCACACTGGGGAGAAACCCTACATATGTAAGCACTGTGGGAAAGCTTTCACCAGACACAGTTATTGTCAAATACATGAAAGGACTCACACTGGTGACAAATCTTATGTATGTAAACAATGTGGGAAAGCCTTCAGCATACAGAGTCATTGTCGAAGACATGAACAAACTCACACTGGGGAGAAACACTACATATGTAAGCACTGTGGGAAAGCTTTCACCACACACAGTTATTGTCAAATACATGAAAGGACTCACACTGAAGACAAATCTTACATATGTAAACAATGTGGGAAAGCTTTCAGCACACACAGTAATTGTCAAAGACATGAACAAACTCACACTGGGGAGAAACCTTGTGTATGTAAGCAGTGTGGGAAAGCTTTCAGGACACAGACT